CATCCTTAGCTATCCTTTAGTCATTGCAGTTAATCATTGCATGGACAGCATCTGTATTGCATGTGTCAGACAGCTTCAACGTGCAAAAGGAATGTAATCCACGTTTTCATTCTTCAGACCAATAATGCAGCGTTGTTCTGCAGGGACATCCTCATAAAACCTTAATTTCTGATATGATATTAGAGGGGTGATTTACATTTCCAAACTACAGCAGCCTGGTTTCTCTCAAACAAAATACATCTGGCTTGAGGAGAAGAAAGTGTGTATTTTACAAAAGCAAAGCCAGCAAGGAAATGAGAAGTGAATTTTTCAGTATCAGTTGGAATTGCTGCCATTGGGAATGTCTAAAGGTATGGATCTGCAAACAGCATGGGTGCTGTGCCTTCTGGTCTCATTTCTACTGCTGCAGGTATCTGCAGAGGGTTTGGGAGATGCTTTGTGTCCTCCCCTCCTTGAAAATCATCCTTTATTTCTTGCCCTTTTCTTCAGCCCCAGAGGTGAGCAGGGATAAAGGCAGTAAATCCTGTGATTCTTTTGCTTTACACAGCCCAGGGAATGTTATTCACAGGGCAGCTGTTGCATTTGTGGCTTCTGCTGGAGACCTGCTCATTCTGCTGCCTGTTTCTGCTTGGGTGCAGCCCCAGTTTCCTCTGGCTCCTGTTCTTCTGCTCCGTAGGCTCTGACCTTCCCTCTCCTGGCACTTGAGGAGTACAATTATCTGCACAGCAATAATCCAAAGTGCATGTTCTGCAGAGCACACAGGTGAGCTTATTAGTGCTTTTCAGAGCAAGAGCTGGGAGAGCCCAAAGGCTCTGAGGGCTGCTGTGAGATGACACTGAGGCAGCTTTCAAAGTCCTGCAGGTGTTTATGGAGCAGGGGAAGCTCAGCACGGAGTGGTTAGCCCCTGTGTTCCCTCAGGAGGCCCTTTGGGTCACTCCCACCTGCAGGGCACCTGAGGTGACAGTGGGAGTGTGCAGGTGAGCACCTCTCCCTTTCCTTGCAATCCCCCAGAAGGAGTTTCAGTGCCTCACAACTGTGTGTCACTCATTTTGCACTCCCAATCTGCTGCCTGGGAGTTTCAGCTCTTTTTGTTGGGAGTTTCATCTTCCAGCCAAGCTGTTTGCCTGCAAGGCAGGTACAGAAAATGCTTTTGGCTCGTTCCCGTGTGCAGACCTTGGGAGAAGTGGCTGAGTGCTGAAGGGTCACCTTGCAGCTTTCTGTGGCACCACACACCCACTTTGGAATGGATAGATTTCCTTGTTGTGACCTTTGGGGGTCAGCTCTCCTGATGAAAAGGAATGTAACAATCAGGGCTGCTCGTAGTGCTTGCTTCACCATTCAAAACACTTCAATTGTCCAATGTCTTGGACAATTTCATCTTCTCCTACAATATTCTTTTAATGTAGCTTTTGTTTTATTATTTATTTTTATTGATAAACAGCAAATAGGTCACTTCCATTTTTATCTATACAGTTTAATTCTTAGAATTGCAAAGGTTTAGGCCTTTGGATGGTGACATAGTATGGGTTGAGATGTAAGGTTTAATGGCACAGGTGTGTTGTGCTTTGTAGGGTCACAGCCCTGATTTCATCACAGCCTGACTGCAGGTAATTCCTTCCAGTCTCATTGTTGTCTCTTTACAAGGATGTACCCAGGATTTTATGAAAAAGCCATTTTTCAGTCATTTGTTCCAGGTGAGCTGTGTTTGAAGCAAGTAGAGGAGCAGACTCACAAGGGCCTATTTTTACAATTTATGAGTTTAACATAAGTCAAATAGTTATTCTTATATGCTGTTTCATGCAGAAATTCTGACCTGGGGGGAAGAAGGGAATGCTGGTGCTGCTCTGGGCTCCACATCCCTTGGAAGTATCTGATGCACAGGCACAGATAATGACCCTTGCACCTGGGCAGTGCATTGTGTCTGTTCCACCACAAGGAATTGTATCCAGGTGGATGGCGATGCCAGTGGATTTACTGCTGCTGTCATTTCTCTGCTTGGAAGGAGCTGTGGAAAAGGCAGGTTTGGCTCAGTGTGGCAACAGCCATGGACCAGCTGTCCTGTACACAAGAAACCACTGATTTGGCTTTGAAGGGAAGATCTTGGGCAGAGAAAGAGGTGAGGAGGTACCAGCGATGGTGCTGTGCATACAAGCCTCAGAGAAGTGTGCAAGCTGTGGGGAGTGTTGCCAGGGAGCTCTGAAGTCAGTGTGACAATACACAACTGAAATGGTAGCTGGAGTTAGCTTCTGGTCCTCCCACAAAGAGATCACTTTAATTTTACACTTGTGGACTGCCTCCATGCAGTTTGCCCAAAATCATGGCTCATAAAATGCCATCCAGACAGCAGCTGCGTGCATCGCTGCGGGTTCCTCCTCTGCGTCCCACGCCAGCCCTTCCAGGGGAAGGGAGGACAGGAACACCTCTCACCAGGCAAGACCTGGACTGAAAACCAGGAAAAGAAGAAGTGAGGGCCAAATGCACCAGCAGATGGCTGTTCCTGGAGCCTGTTCCCTGGCAGCTGAAGCTCCCCGTCCTCTGAGCGGGATAAATCTGTGCCACACGCTTGGGCAGGTTCTGTCAGTGATGGCTCTTTGCACTGTGGAAGGAATTCAGCAGACTGAAGCTTCCACTCCCCCAAAGTGTTGTCCCCTCTCTCTCAGTCAAGGTAACAAGGTGGCCATGCAAGTCAGAGTGCTGTGTCTCTGTTTTACACAGCCTAAAAGCAGTAGGCTTAGTTTCCTTCCTGTACCAGGGCAGATTGTTTCAGTGTGGAACGTCTCTTCTGTCCAGCTTGTTTTGCCTGGGATAGCTTCCTTCCAGCTCCAGAATTAGAAGGGAAATTCAGCAGTTCAAAACATGCAGTTTTACCTATTTATTAGCCCAAGTATTTAAATTTTCCCCAGAGGGCAAATAATAAACCAGTGCAGGAGGGGCTCTCGTAAGATATGTTGTCTTTTGGTGTGAAGTGCTGCAGGTCAATCTTGTGGCAAAAAAATGAAAATTAATTAATATCTAATCAACTAAAAGGTTTAATTAACCTGTTAACTAACATTTAACACTTAATTTTCATAAAGTATTTCTTTTGCAACATCCATATTAGGATGAAGATATTCAATGATACAGTGAAGCTGTTTCTTAGAATAACTGATTAATAAGGGAATCATACTACTATGGATTATAAGCCATAATTCATACTAGAACTATATTTATTTCTGCATATATTTTGCATATATATTTATTTTTTCTTCCTAAATGTAGAAGAGTATCTTGCAAACATTCTGTGTTTTCACAACAGAGTCTCTTGTATGATTGAAAATTTCTGGAAAAGTTAAATATAAATGTTTCAAGTACAAGAGCATTGCTCTTCTTACCTCCACTGGGACCATCTCTTTGGATGGTCAAAAATAAAATGCAAACAGAGTTGCAGAAATGTATCAAATGCAGTCCGGGATAAATCACTGTACTATATTATTTTGTATTTAAAAATGAGATTTTCATTTATAATGAGTGGAACAAACCAGTGGACCCTGTAATTTCCAAAGATCTTCTTTGTTCCCAAAAGCTATTTTCCATTGAATAATCTACATCTTTTTTTTTCCTCTCTCCATGAACTCTTGAAATCCATTTAGATCTTTCTGAGAAAAAGCAACTTAATTATATAAATAACAGATACACAAACACAAAAATTTAACACTGTATCCATATAGTTTCCTGTAAAACTGCAGTCCTAGGAGTGCAGTTCAGTTCTGGTTTATGTTCTAATTTTTAGATAGAAATTTCATTTGTTGAAATGAAAATAAAACATATCAGTCATACCAAATTGAAAATATAATCATGTATCTCAGTCTGTGAAGCGATGTTGGGTCTCTAATTAGAAAGTGGTGTGTAATAAGCTTAAATACATTTCTGCTGAGGTTTTCCTCATCAGTGCCACTGATTTAATTTCTGTATTTGATTAAGAAGGACAATGATGGAGTGACTGGTATCATTTTGGGAAAAAAAATTGAAGGATGAATATTCTTAAGAGGAAAAAGACCTTACTTTCAAAGCTTTCATCTATCTATCTATCTATCTATCTATCTATCTATCTATCTATCTATCTATCCATGCAATTTAAAATATTACTCTATATTCTGTCCTATCTCTCTGCCTTAATCTAAATGTACATAATTTCAGCTCTGTATAATTGCATTAAAGAAATGAGAAACCTGTGGATTTATTTTGATTTAAGATATTTTTGGGCTCTGTGCTTGTCTGTGAAAGTGTTTAGTTCTTTTCCCCAGGATGAGAATTGATGAGCAGAGAGGCGGTTTTCACGTTTGGACTTTGGATGTTGATTTTACATTATCTATATTACATTTTTACAGACAGTAAGCACTTCTACACAATAAGTGTAGAACAACAACCTACAAATGGTGACCCACAAGGCCTTTTAAGCATGAACTATCCAATTATCAAATGCCAACTAATTTATTTTTACTTTTAACCCAATAACCAAACACCCGTGTTCCAGACTGTGGACTTTTTCACCTAATCACACAATATTGCTAAAATCTGTGAAGAAGAAGGAAGAACAAAGCAGGTTAACACCCTAAAACTTCCATCTTGTTGCATACATATATTCTAAAACCTTAAAGTCTAAATTTTCCACCAAGTGATATAATACACTTCTGCTTAAACTACACATTCACAGTTTCAGTTCTATTTATTAATTTTGGAAGCCTTTTCCACAGCCTCAGGTCAAACACAGTGTTCTCTTGTGGGTCTGTGTCTGTCAGCACAGAAAACACGAAATTCTCTGTGCCCAGGGTCCTAACACTTGTCTGCATGGGAATTTCCAACACTCAGCAGATAATTAAAGGGCTTGGTTTTCACTGACTCAATGAAATCCAAACCTCTTTCTTATTAATCTAAACTTGCAGGTTAAGAATTATGATTTTAGGAAGAAGTCTTTGAAAAGTATGTATTTCATACATGTCCCTTTTTCCATTGCATTACAGAAATACAGGAGTTCCTGGATAGCAAGAAACCTGGATAAGATGTTGATTCTAGAAGATCTAAGGTGATTATAAGTATTACACACCAGTATTTCACAGGTGAGTAATTTACAGATGGAAAAATGCAGCCACATCTGATTGATAATTTTCATTTTAGTTGTCATTGCAAACCTTGAACAAGAGCAAGAGTTTTGGCTCTCAAAAAAGGAAAGAAATGGTGCTTGAGATGGAAACAAACCCAAGCAAATGCCTCTGGAGCTGTTGCTGCAGACAGCCATAGAAAGAGCCCAACTCAGAAGAGCTTTGTGAACTTTTCCTGCTATTCAGTGCCATTTGTAAATGCTCAATTTCATCTCAATTACTGCACTCCCATCTATTCAGTGAACTTCTCTTCACAGGAAATAATTGCTCTGTCTTCTATCTTCTCCAAATTACTATTACCTTATTGCCAGGAGATAGTCTGGTTTTCTTGATAACTTTCCAGGCTAAGAAATATTGGAAAAAAAATACACACACAAGTAAAAACAAATTTTGAATTTTGTGAGTATAATTTTCTTTCATGTAAACATAGGTAATTACCTGGCCATTGCACCAAGTGGATTATAGACCTGCTCAAATATTCACAGGCTTTAGGATAAATATCTCCATTGGACTGACTGGATAAAAAGAACAAAATCCTGATTATAAACCCATTTTTCTGCTTTCATGCTTTATCTTTTTAAATGAGGAAAAAATATCTATATTTAGGGGTTTTTGTCCCAACTGTTGTTCAAAGTCCTCTTCAATTTGAAGCTTTCATGAAGGAAATATAAGCATTGCTGGAAATGAAGTCATAGTTGGCAGCAGGCTGGAATCTCAGTTGACATAATTCAGAATTTGGCTCTAAATTGAATTTTTGTCAGTTTAGGTTTACAGAGACCTCCCTCAAATCCTGAAAAAGACTCAAGAGTACCTGTTTTCTCACCAGGGAAAAGCAGTGTTAATTTTATACTTTTGTAAGATTATACAGATTGTTTTTTTTAAGTTGGAGTTTTACCATGAATGAATCTGGCTGGGCCAATCCTGCATTACTAACTTTAGTATTTACCAGCAAGCATAATGTCACTATGATTTAACTGTACAGTGAAATAACTGAAATCTCTCAGGTACACTGGTTTTCATGCTTATTAAATGGTGAGGTTTTAAATGAAACTCTAATTTCAAAATTCACGGCTTTGTGAAATAATAATTGCTAAATATGTTTTGTGTACAGTAAGTTAAATAATTTTACAGTATTGAAAGGAGAGAATAAAGACTACTGCAGGAGGTCTGCTAAACAAATATTTAAAAGCATATAATGGTGACAAATAATACATAGTAATATTGAATGTTTCAAAAATTCCTGTGTGACTGGACTTAAGTGAACTCTCAAAATCTACATCTGTATTTTTTTCATTGATTTAATAGTTCACAGAATTGTCTAGCATTTTATAAGTAATCCATCATCTCAGTTTTCCTTACCAGTATAATTTCCAGAGCCTTCATGATCTTTAGATGCAGATTGTTACATTTCAGTCCTTGAGGCAGTGTTCCATGTTTTTCTCTCCTACCATTATTTGTTGTCACACTTCCACATTTATGGCCTCCCAATGTTTGCTGCCAGATTTCACACATCTGTGTGAGGTACCACATGTGTCTCTTTTTCTAAGGGTCTGCAGCACCTGATGGGGACAATGCCTGAGCTGCTTTGTGTTACCTGAGAGCAGCTCCAGCTCTCCCTCCTTGACCTCAGACAGCTTCACAGGCCCTTTCTTGGAGCTGCTTTTCCTTCCCACAGCTGGATGAAGATTCCACACTGCAAAGACTTTGCCATCTTCAAGCTGTCAGCTTCAGTTTTTTGAGACAAAGGTGGCAACAGTTAAAGTGAGAATCTAAGGGAGAGCTCACACACGAGACAGGCAAGGTTATCTGACAATTACCAAAAAAATACAGAT